TCTTTATACTTTGATTTCTACGGGTTGTGACAACCTCTTTGACAGTGACGAGACCTAACAGCCCCGAAATGTGTATACGGATGTTTTTTTTTTTTTTTTTTTGGTTTGGCTTTATCGTATCAGGGCCATGAAGCCTTTTGGTTTGAAAGCTCAGTGTAATCGAAATACGAGTCGTTATAAGTATTTTATCAGTTGTATCGTGACAACTTTGCTCTTGTCCGAGTGGTTATTTTCCACTCGGTGAAGCTATGTTAGGGTTATCACTGCGCTATATTTAGGTCAGTTCTCAGAATGTAATCTGGAGAGGATGGGGTCGAAAGTGGAGCGCTCTATCGGACATCCTGTCCTTGTCCGGGGACACACTCCGGGAGGATCCCGGGATGCTCCAAGCTCGATCATTCGTTTAGGGTGTCAAACAAACCCGACGATTACTGCTGAGGCGGGGAAGTAACAACGCGGGGTGTAGAGCCAGTAGTGGGGAGACACCTGTCGAGGTGATCAGGTTGCAGCGGTGTCGGGTACATCTCCGCCATCGACGCTCTATACCGCCGTAGTGGAGCTCGGACAAATTCGACACGGAATATGAACAACATTCTCGAGCCTGTGGGAGGAGGAAATTGTAATCTCTCTCTACGTTCTAATCTCCTATATTTGCATACCGCCAGAACGGTATCCCCTACTTGCACCTTGGCTACGCGCGATAAGAAAAATTGACCATTTTAGCTTACATCGGGGAATATTATCTAGAATTTAATAAGTCTCCCTATAGCTTTCTCAGGATAGCTCTGCCTAAAGTGGTTTAGATGGCACTCAGCCATACAAACCAATAAATTATACGGCCGTATAGCGTTGCCATCCTCACAGCTGCTGTGTTAAGAGGAAAGCCTCCAGTCTATATATGTTCCACGACACTGATGTTGGCATGGGAGGTGTCGAGTGTCGTTAGATGACAAGTTGAACGTGTCGCTAAACTAACGTTTAGATAATTAAACATGGCGCAACAAAATGGCGCCCTCTAATAATACGGACAAACCTAATTTTTAAAAAAGACGTCTTAAACAAACTTGCGCGTGAAAATTCCGAGTTGGTAAAATAACGTCAAGCTGTCGAGAGTATCTTCGGCGCGAAAACGGCATATGCTAGACCCACTCCACGTGGCTGTAGGTGTGGCGCGGCCTCGGCCAATCAGGTGGGAGGTGTGGCGTGACGTCACCGCCTGGCGTCAGCCGTCTGGATGAACAGTCTTTTAGCAAGCCATGCCCCATGCAAGCAACTCTGTAAGTAAGCTTAGTCTCCCTTAATGGCGGCTCTTTTCGGCGGGCCCTTAAGCCTACTTTTTCTTACCCCTTGGAATGCTTTTGCTCACCCCCCACCTCTCTCATTCTTTATGCAGCGGACTTTTTTCTCGGCGCCCCCTGGAGCTAGCTCTACTAACCCCCGGTACTTTTCCACTCATTTCGTCTGGACCCCTTTATCGTCTGCTCGGATTTTTCTTTTGGACGGTTACGTTTAGTTCTTTTAATATCGTTTGGCGATTAATTATTTTGTGTGCGAGTGTGTTGGTTTTATTTTTGTCAATGTTGGGGCTGTGTTTAATGATATATTGATTCTTAATTGAATTTATAGTTTGTGTGTGTATACAATTTTTTATTTTCGATTGATTATATAAATTATATTTTTGTTTATTATTATATTTTATTTTCTCATTATATATATAAAAAAAACACGAATATTTTCAACTTACGCGCGGTCTATATTATACAATAATATATATAATTTATATATTTCCTCTCTGTATAACCTCTATGGTACACATTCAGAAATAAGGTTACACATATTGTCTCATGTAATTTTTTTAACCAGTTCCTTTGTGTGTGCGGGGGAGCGTGTGTTGAAAAAAAAATGACACAAGTTTTTACTTTTACAAAATTCCACAACGGAGAGTTTAGAGGAAAACTAAAAAATAGAAAGAAAACTGGAAGTTGGCGACTTTCCCAGCTACACGTCAGAGCTATAAATGGAGCCCACCAAACGAGACTTGCAAGCCTATTTGCTCGCGTCAAGAAAATAACATTGTCACCGTCAAATTAAACAATGTCAAAAACAACAAAAAATGTTTATCACAGATATTTTACACTAGTCAATACATGACCATTCACTTTTTTAGCCTGGTCATCGATAATGCCAACTCAAGCCCTTCCACTCGATAATTCGGAGCGGTTAATTGAAGTCAACAATGACGTCAGATTCTATACCTGAATTGTCTCCGTCCAAAAAAAAGACGGTAGGTTTATTTATATATATATTTATATATTTTGTTTCCACTTGAGCATTTCACCTGAGTACGTAATTAAAAAATAGGGAGGATTTTTAGGCTGGAAGTTGGCAAGTTTTGTCAGGACGTCGGCCCAGTTTTCTTGTCCTTGGTTGCATTCAAACCGGTCATCTCGAATTATTCCGTACGATAAAACTTGGTTGTTCCGCTTTGATTTCAGCTTTGTGTGTTTTTAGATATTTTGTCTTTGTGCTTTTACCTAACACTTTTACTCTCCTCTTTACTCTCCTCTTTATGCCCTTAGATACAATCTTAATTTGGCGATTTTGTTTTAAAACTACATAACCTTTTTCTTCGTGTTTTTGGCGATAATAATCTCCGAGCACACAAGCACAAAGACCATAAGAAATCAGTATTAAGAGAGTGTACAGTAAATAAACTGAAATCTATCTAGAAATTCCCCACAGTTTTGTTTAAACTTTATTGCTGCCTATAATCTTAGGTAATGAAAGTCTCCAGTTTTTAAAAAAACATTTGATATATTTTGAGTCAAAAGTCAATTAAGTTTATATAAAAAGGCGTACCTGGATCTGTAGTTTACTGTACAATAAATTGATAAAGAGGGAGCAATCTCTCGAACTGCCCTCCTGTAAGGTTCGGGGGGCCACTCCAGCATTACAACTCGCCATGTGTAAATAATCTGGACAAGGTGACTCGCGAGCTGTGCTCGAATGTAACACCTGCAAATTGAGATGAAATAAATAAATAAATAAATCTCTCGAAATATTTTGAGAAAAAAAATTATTATTATTCTTCTTTTTTAACAGATCCAGGTACGCCCTCTTATATACATATTGATATATGAAAAATCAGCGTGGTAGAAGAAAAAAAAACGGAAAAAAATGTGATTGTTGTGAACTTGCAGAACTTTTTCAATTTGACTTAGAGAATTGGTGTATGATAGACAACCAACACTCAGCCATTGTTCCCATGTTCTATAAACATGAACTTTGGGTAGCTTGTTGTTGTGTGGGGAGAAAAAATGCATGTCTTTATATGGGGTTTGTTGGTGCAATGTATAATGGACATTTCGTGTATTCAGAAGGACCAAATTTACTCTCCTATCTTTTCTCTCTCTTTATGGGATAAGTTAATTCGGTTTGACATGTAAAAAAATGAGAGATATTGGTGTATTATAAAACTAGATGTAAGCACGGAAACTTGAGTTGTGAATGATTGAAGGCTTAGTGAGGGGTCTACACGTAATGTATGCAAATTGTGACGATTACTTTCACGCCCGGAGATTTATTTGGTTGACCGAGGGGCAACTTTCGTTCTGCTAATTTGGACATCTTCCCCGCGTGTTTACCTCCTCTCAACTGTTATCTCTTATTATCTTACATTTATTCTTTAGCTCCCGGGATTCCGAGAAGACACTTATCCAAAGATTTTTCCAGAATTGTCCACAAGATAACATTTAGCTGGTTTAACATCAGTAAATCTGGTTGCTCCACTTGATGCAATCCGTGGGATTACCCCCCCCCCCCCCCCCCCCCCAATTAAAGGCATGCAAGAACAAATGTATCGTTTGGCGATAGAACGAAATGAGCAGTTGTTGGGTTAAAAAAATGATGCGTTATTTGAAAGATGTAAAATTACCTCATGTCAAATATTTTTAAATCCGTTTTATTCATGTTTCTAATAATTTCCTACGAGCGTGTTTCGCCGTACATTATTCTACCACAAAGAAGACCTACAACTCCTAACCTTTACTACTTCCAGTGTGGCCCAATGCAATTTTTTTTTTCAAAATGTAATTTCGTTTCTCTCTCGCCTGCCATTTAATTCGAGTTGGTATTTCCCTTGACCCAAATGTGAAACCGTTTTTGTGTCCGTTCTTCCCCCTTTATTATTATTACTAGTGCTGCTGGTTAAGAGAATGGCTACAATAAAAGCAGGGGTGTTTAGCATTAATTTGCATAAAACATATGCAACTAAGGATTTTAGTCCAAAATTATTGTTTTCACCTCATGATTAAACTTTGTATTAATACAATGTAATACTGTATATGGGCTTAATCACTTATATAGTACTAGACGAATGGCCCGGGCAACGCCCGGGTTTTACCCGAGTGCGTATATATTTTAAAAACGTTTTAATTCAAATACTATTCGTTACAATTATAAATTGGCGCCATGGATGTCACTCTTGTGAAACGTCCCGTTCCAAACTGTGTGTTTTTAAAATGTTTTAATTAAAATACTATTCGTTACAATTATAATTTGATTGTATAAGAAACATATTTTCATTTAAGTATTGTACTTTATATAAAAAAGATTAAATAATTGTGCAAAACGATATATACGATATATAAACATCAAAAGAAATAATGAGCCTATCGTTCAAATATAAAATTCGAATAAATATAAATGAGATACTAAAAATTAAATACCTATTTAATGAATATCATATTTTATTCTTATATTAAAATATTTATTCTTTTATTCTTAACTTTATGAACGGAAAAATATGTCCAGGGTAGCCTAGTGGTCATGGTAAGCGGAAGGTCGTGGGTTCGATTCCCATCCCTTGACACTTTTTTTATTTTATCCATTCTGACCAAAATCTATCCGTGAACTTCACACAATGAACTTCACACAGACAGAATAAGGCAATTATATAAGTAGATTTACCCGATTGAATGTTTTGATTCAAATACTATTTTGTTACAATTATAAGTTGTGGTCATGGCATCTGCCCGGTAAGCGGAAGGTCGTGGGTTCGATTCCCATCACTTGACACTTTTTTTATTTTATCCATTCTGACCAAAATCTATCCGTGAACTTCACACAGACAGAATAAGGCAATTATATAAGTAGATTATTGCCATCCAGGACGTGGGTAAACTAAATAGATAATTTAGGTTTCGTCAGCTGTTTTCTTATATATTAAAAACTATTTTATTTTGAAGAAGGTGAATAAAAATAGGATGGCTAGGGGTGATACCACCGCTTCGTTTTTCCCATGAAAATCCTCAACGGAAGCTCTGGATGCACCAGCTGGAGTGAGCCACCAAGGCAGCTGTGATATCACTGATCGTGATGATAAAACGGCGAGCAAGTTTAGCTGACGTGCTGCAGTTACGGAATATCATGCGCTTATTTCTCCAAACTGCCGATTGTACAACCTCATTATCAACCTTTTTTTTTTTTTGGCCAGTCAAAGTACTCTAATCCGAGTCAAAATTGCTTCGATGACCTCCCGATTCTTGCACAACCCTACACGTTTTATGTACTCCTGGAAAGGGAAACTCCTCAAATCTAACCAACCCTGTACCGTACAGTGGTCCGAAAACAGGTTAAAACACCCTGCGAAGTATGACTTTGCACTTTTTGTTTACATTACTTGTCGCAGGGCTTACGTTAACAAATGCATTACATGTTCAACTCGCCCGCATCTTGCGCGCTTGCTACCGTAGACCAAGTATTAAGTCGTGAAATCGGCAACATTCGGGCTGTTGCTGAGCAGAGAGGATTGCAGCGTTGCCAAGCGGATATAGCGCCACGTAGACTCGATGCCATCTACCTGGCTTTACTCAGATTGGGACTGCTACATGTCTTACAGTACTACGGCCGGGTCTACGAATGAAGGGTCTGGGTGGTAGACGTGTGTAGACATTGTGGAGTCTAGAATGTTTGCCACAATATGTTTTGAACAAGACGCGTAATGGAGTGATTATGCAAATATGTTTATATCTATCTCAGTGTATTTAAGCCTCCGTGAGGGGAATAGTTGGAAACCATGGTACGTTGGCTTTTGTCTGAACTTGACAGAGCTAATGTTGTGGTACATTCTTTATCAACACTTCGGTACTTATGCCGAGTACAATCCATTGTTTTACTGCGTTTTTAAACGGATCTGTGCCTCTTTTGGTACATGAACACCATTCTCACGCAAGCTTACATTATACTTGTGTAAGTCACCTATTTATTGTTTAGCTAGATGTCCATATAAAAACGTTGTAGAGCTTAAAATAATTTTATTGACTTTTTGCTCGAAATACTTGATTGTAACGTCGTTCTATGTGTTATCCACATGGCGGGAGAGTTTACATACCAAGTAGGTGTTCTGGGACATTGGTCGATGTTATCTGTTTGACCAGCGATAGGCTCGTGGCACGGATTCCGTTAGTTCTGTAGCTGACTGACGGACAACACACCCTGTTATATCTAGCATCGACGTTAGGTTGAAAGTAGATCCCATGGACAAAACTATGACGGCATTCTGCAAAAAAAAAAAAAAAAAGCGGGCAGTTTTTTAAAAATTATTAATCAAGAAAGAGCATTTGACCATTATTCTGAAATGTTAAAACCACAATCAAGGATTGGTTTATATTTACTCCGATAGATGGCATCGTTAACTTAGTTGCACACGATCAGATGTCTTAAACAACATTCGTGGCATAATGTTGCCGGCCATTCTCCCGTGAACACTAAAACGTCATGTAGCAAGCTATCAAACAAGATAAAATGGCGGGCAAAATTATGGAAACCTATAGATTTTGTTTGTGGTGAGGGAGAAGCGTTTCGTTTGAGATTGTAAAAAAAAGTCAGTTCTGCGAGGTCTTTCTTCCACCAAGTCGTTTTGGAATTGAAAGTAACTTAATAGCTTTAGGCAAAATAATTATCAAAAGATTAATAACTCAAGTACCCCGAGCTATCCTTGATTGTGTCCAAACAGGATTGTTGGGACATCGCTGCAGCCTCCTTTATAGTCTAACGGGGCTGTTTGGTCGAGTTTTGTAGGAATAAATTCTGTCAGACCACGATATTTCGCGCACTGATTGATAGTTAGGCAATTTTGGTGATTACCGCTTCCGTGCTACTCCGTTGATTCGGAATGTCCTTGAAGTAGTTAAGAAGAATGTAAGGAAATCAGGAATGCCCCCGTATTCCCCACGGAGGCCTTACGACAGAGATGATGTGGAAGGGGTTTCCTCTTATCTCGCTTTATACCAGGAATGCCCCAATTTCATTTAATCCTCCGCCCCCAAGCCTTGGATTTCTCTTTTTTTTTTTTTGGGGGTATTTCCAGCCTGGTGGTGTTTTAGGTATTTCATGTTTTGTTTATTACTTTGGGAAGTTCCTCCGTATGTCTAAACCTGCTATAATGGCTGGCACTGGGTTAGTTTATTGGTTGTAATTCTTTTATTTCCTCCTCTCTTAGCAATCTAAATTGAGCCTTTCTTGTAGGAATATTTCTATTGTCTGACAGCTTTTGTAAATAACAGTAAAAACGGGCTTACTCAGGGTCTTGCTCCCACTTGGTATGGTTGGTTACAAGTGTGCCGACCAGGGTTGTTGTAGCTATATTTAGCGTGGTTCTCGACCTATGCCTCAGCCTTCCATCTCGGGATGTAAGTACACGGCAGCTAGCCAGGGGAAGTCTAGATCGCGATTCTACGTGGCTTTGGTTTTAAGAAATAACAAATTATTTACCTCAAACGGATGGAAATCCGTGATCAAACGGAACTTCACGTATCTTGTATAAGTTGGGATGTACTTGTAGTGTGAATATAATCGCATCCTACCTGCCATGATTATTATGTAAATCTAGGATGATTGGATCCACCATGTGCCTTATGTAACATCCCTCCGAATGACTGAACCCCGGATTGAATGCCATCTCTGAAACTGCATCAAGGGACGAGTGTATGGAGGAATTATTCTCTATGGAGTTTTCTCACCATTTATTGTGAGCCTTGGTTTCTATGGCTGTCAGGTGACGTAACAGGAGGGAGTGTGACGTAAATGATATCGCCGCCGTAGTTTATTGGGTCAAGGTTAGGTTGTTAAGTTTGGTGCTGGGGGTGTTTGCCCTTGTCCGGGAAATATTCCCAACTTCTTCATTTTCAAAGGATAAATGTCCAAAAATAATTCCCGTGTTCAATTGCCGCCACCTTGTATCCGGAGGTTGACGTCGCCCAACGTGGACGACTTATCCAGTAGTATTGCTCCACACTCTGTTCACTCAGCCATTTTGCAATTCGGAATGTCAGTTTATTGACACAGCGAAATCCAGCCAATATTTACTCTCCCGACTCTTATTAAAATTTGCATAGCTGTAATCTTCTAAGAGGTCTTCCTTCGCGTGTCTTCGGGGACTTTGACATAGCCTGTCGACATCCTCCTTGCCAGTACCGGGGTCGCAGCCCCAATAAATAATGCCGCGGTGTGACCAGTTTGATTTAAACCAGTTGTATTTGCTCGGCACACGATCAACTTACATGTGAGCCCCGTAAAAAACTCAAATATTTGCTTCCTGCTCTTTGTTCTTTGGAAGAAGCTGTGGTGGGGAGAACTTCTTTCTTTCTTGGAGTAGACACCACGTGCGTTATAGGTGGTTCTAAACCCGATTGAAATAAAAAAAAAAGGTATTTTAATAATGGAAACCTTAGAGAAATCTCTAGAGCGAAGCGCGCGCAATGAATTATAAAATTTGACGAGAAGTGTAAGAACAACACACATTATAAATGCTTTACGTGAAACATACTTTCCCCACCGCCGTGCGATGGTTTGTTCCAAACCCGAGTAAATCTCAGCCTTCCGTTTTGTCTGCGCGGCGGAGAAACTAAATTTGGTCCATTGATTGCATCGATTGGGGGGATGTTACCTCAGGTGGAGGACGTATCTGCGTGGCCAACACATTTTGATTGGAGAAAAAATGAAGGATTTATCCGACAATAAAGATGGAGAAACTGTAGCTACTGTCGTCTAACAAAACTGGCGAAACCGCTGGGAGGGTTCACCACTGATGTACCAGGCCTTCTAATAGTTTCCCATCTTCTTAGTAATAGAACAATGTTTATTTTAAAATACGGAGAAATCATGGTCAAATAGTTTCTTATAGAATTTGTTCTGTGTTGGATTTAGTTGTTTTGCTTGTGGGGGGGGTATAAAGAGAAGGAAATGAATTCACTTGCGCGCGCTTTTTTAGAAATAGAGATTTCAAAATATAACCTAACGCGACTATAGGTTTAGAGATTATTTTACAAAGAATATTAGACTTTGGGATGGTAGTAAAAAGAGGTTATATAAGTGAAGAGCCATGTAAGACTAGACACGTAGAGAGCTGGCTGGACATCCCAATATTGTGGCCACCTGGTGATCCTTAGATATAACGGTGGCCACTCGACATCGTCCTCAGTTTGGTATTTTTTTAGCACTTCATTCAGACCCCGCGGTGAGGTAGAAATTGATTGGTAAACAATTTTGGATATGGGGGAAAAAAAGTACAAAAGTGAAATTGCAGTGGTATCAGGTGGTTCTATTAAGAAAAAGGCATCTCCTGAGCGTGCAACTGAACTTGCGCCATCTATCAGAATAAATATCAATTATTTTTTTTTTTAATGATTATTCCAGAATATTGGCCAAACGGTTGTTTATCAAGATTTGGCCTGGAACAGTGAAGTAGCGTAGTCATGTTAAACAACCAACGGGAAAATGAGGATGGATAGATCCGACGAGCTGGCGCCCGAAGATTGTCCTTCGGTGAGGTAAGAGTGTCCGGTTTCGGTTTTATTGGCGCTGCCCCGGGGTGGATTTCTTCATCCTGTCTGTTGGGGCATAGCTCGGATCCCCAGGTTGCCAATGACAAGAAGGCAGCTAACGATCCCAGAAAATTATATTAGTTTCAATGTTGAGTTTTGTTGATAATTTATTACAAGATTGGTAGGAAGAGAGAGGAACTCGTAACTCTTTTATCTATTCCTTGTCAGGTTCTGGATTCCAACTTTATTAGT